ATATGTCCTTTCAATTGGGGATTATTTTATACATTGAGAAAAATTTAGCCATTATTAGTGTTTTCATGAGGAAATTAAGTCAGCCCTGGACCCTTTGTTTTGCTTATTAGCTCTTTTTCACCATCCCTAAATTAAAAAAATACCTCCAGTTAGAAAAATCAGAATTGGGATACTAATGACTGAAAGTTGTCTCAGAAAAAAAGCAAATAATTCTGCTTTCTGAAATTATGCTATTTCTAAATTTAATTTTAAATGTCTTTTCAATAGTGTTGAACCAACTTTATTCATATTTACTTGAATATGTAAGAACAAAATAATTCAACGTTAAATTTTAATTAATATTTATTTTCAATCTAGCTGACATTAACAAGGCTCTTCTTGCTAAGAGAAAAAGACTAGAAATGTATACTAAAGCTTCTCTCAAAACTAGCAACCACAAAATTGAACATGTTTGGAAAACACAACAAGAGCAAAGGTAAGGTTGTTGGTTTAGAGCCACACATTTGTGTCATTTCTTAGTATTTACTGGTACAAATTACTTATGAAAACTACCATCACCTTCTATTTATTGGGGTCCCTAGTAACAATATATTTGGCTGGATTATCCGAAGTTTTTTTTTTTTTTTTTTGGTCTTCATTAAGAGACAAGGTCTTGCCCTGTCATCCAGGCTGCAGTGAAGTGGCCTGATCACTGTAACCTCGAATTCCTAGGCAGTAGTGATCCTTTCTGTCTCAGCCTCCCAAGTTGCTGGTATACAGGTGTACACCACCACACCCAGCTAATTTTTTTTTTTTTTTAATTTTTTTTGGAGACGGGGTCTTGCAGTGTTGCCCGGGCTGGTCTCAAACTGCTGGCCTCAAGTAATCCTCTTGCCTCAGCCTCCCAAAGTGCTGGGATTACAGGTGTGAGCCACTGTGCCTGGCCCTTAGATAACAATTGAGGTTTTTAATTATAAAAGTAATTTATATTTATTATTGAGATACAATAGTTGAATAAAAGGTAAATGTCATGGAAATCATTAGTCTTCTGATAGTTAAACTATGTTCAACAATGTAGAAAAGGGCCAATCTTATATTGTAAATAATTTGTACATTTTAGCTGACTTAACTATTCTTTTGTCCAAAATCTTTGCTCCAAAATGAGGGAAAAAAATAAGTGAAATATTTGTTTGGAAATCTTATAAATGTAATAACCTTATTTAATCAATTTATTATATCAGAACCTATATTCAGTAGGAAAAAAAGAAAAACTACTTGGAGATAAAATGAATTTTTCTAGGAAATTTATATGTACAGTTTTCAAGAACTAAAGCATGTGAGGGTTTTTCTATTAGCTTATTTGGAATCAGCATACTTCTTGAATCAGCATAAATCATCATTTTATTTCTTGGGTTCCCATCAGAAGGTTTAAGCTGCTATTATTTCCCTTTATAAAAAATTTGATTACTAGAAGAAAGCATTCCTTTTTTATAGTAAAATATGTCAACTCAATTTTGTTTTAAATTTTTTTCATATTGGTATGAAATATGACAATAATTCATTATGTTTTATAGGCAGAAGCTTAAACAAGAATATTCTCAGCAGTTTATGAATTTGTTTCAGCAGTGGGATGTAGATGTGCAGAAAGCTGAGGAACAAGAAGAAAAACTAATTGTTGGTATCATGATTAAGTTTATAATTAATCTATTATAACCAAGTCTCAAGTAGGAATGGAGAACCTAGCCTTTTATTAGACCCATGGCACTGAGGCAGGTTCCATTAACCATTGCTGGCTATGTGTTTTAGTCCTGCTGAACTGTAACCCACAGAAGTATAGGCACATAACCATATTCATACAAGCCATTAGTCTTTGCTTATATTGGTTGGGATTCTTGCACTTTCAAGTGACAGAAATTTGTCAAAGTACACAAGGATTATTGGTGTATATAAAATAAATTGGAGGTAGTTTAGCTTTAGGCACAGCTGTGTGAAAACAGGGAAGGATTACTCACATAGTATCATCTCGGTTCTGCTGACAATTCTTAGTAAGCTCTCAATGTAGTAAGTAAAATAGTTCTTGCAATCCTAGATTTACTACAAGTTTTAGTAACCCGAGTGGACTGAGACAATCTCAGTAGCACTGGCAGAACATTTGTCTGGAGAAAAATCACCGATCTAGTTTGGATCATTTGCCCGTTCCCAACCAATCATTGTGCATTCAGCCCTTTGTATCCGTGGGCTCTGCATCCTCAGATTCAACCAACTGTGGATCAAAAATATTTGGAAAAAAACAATAAAAAGTAACAATACAACAATAAAAATAATACAAATTTAAAAAACA